ACCTAAAACGCCTCGTTCTAACACGCCCCCACATGTCTACGTCACGATGTGGAAATATTTGCATAATGTCGCCCAAATGTTCACGCAAAGAAAGAAGGCGTGGTTTCAGGAACAGCAGTAGTGTCGATGCAGTAATAATGATCTTTAAAATAGCATCATATGACCCCTTTAAGGAAATGTGTATGCATGGTTTTTTATGTAAAAATGCTGCAGTGTGACAATATTTTAGTTAAAAAACTTAATACAAGGTAACAAAAACTGTGCATAATAATTAGAAAGCAATGCTGTAATTGTTTGAATTTACATGACAAGAGAAACACAATAAAGGTGTCTTTTGTTTGCCACTAATTCCTAAGTTTAAAATAACCAAAATCAATCAATGAGCTTGCATGGCATCTAACTCAAGGTTTGTTTTTACTTAAGTTGGCTGACATACTATGTGATGCACCATAAAACAAGAATAAACAATTGCATTCTGCATACTCTGGGAAAGTTATGTGAAACAGTGAAAGACAAAAATCTCAAGAAATTGAAGGCTGAATCCTATGTGATTATTTCCCTTCAGGTTGTGTGCAAACATAATACCTTGGAACCACAGAGAAGAGCCAACCAGTGAGTGCTTTTCCCTCATCCATCCCTCCCGAACCTATAACAAAAGTGTCCCTCGCGGGCCAAAATGACCCAAAGGCCAAAAATGACACTAATTTTATTTTTGGTCCAGAAAGCTTATATTGGAACATTTTATATATTTTTTTATGTAGGTTTTTATATTATTTTTTGGTGATTTTTTTGATCATATTTACCTTTTATTCTGGATATTTTTAAGAAAACATAAGCAAATAAGCAGTTTTTGTACATTATTTCACCAAAAAAAAAAACTACCTTTTATTCTGGATATTTTTAAGAAAACATAAGCAAATAAGCAGTTTTTATACTTTATTTCACCAAAAAAAAAAACAAGACAGACAATTTCAGTCCTGTTTCATCAAAAACCAACAGATGGCCTTGGAATGGAGTCACTGAGTGTCTCTGATGCCATCTGGTGGGGGAAAATTACATAAAATTGCATTTTTTGGTTACAGCCACTAAAGGGGCCTATAGAACCCTATGGAGATTTTTAAATACGCAAAACAAGTGAAACATGAAAAATGAGATAATCTTAAGGCTTCAATTTGGTTGTTTATGGATTTAAATATATATTGAAACATTACAAAATCCAAATTTTGTAAAAAAAAAAGTATATCCTAAACATTGCATATTCATACAAATTCATAAATATATAATATATTTTTAAAAATATAAATATGATATAAACTCATTGGTCTCCACCACATCCCTCAAATCTAACTGTGTAAAGTAAAAAAAACCACTAAAGGGGCCTATAGAACCCTATGGAGATTTTTAAATACGCAAAACAAGTGAAACATGAAAAATGAGATAATCTTAAGGCTTCAATTTGGTTGTTTATGGATTTAAATATATATTGAAACATTACAAAATCCAAATTTTGTAAAAAAAAAAGTATATCCTAAACATATGCATATTCATACAAATTCATAAATATATAATATATTTTTAAAAATATAAATATGATATAAACTCATTGGTCTCCACCACATCCCTCAAATCTAACTGTGTAAAGTAAAAAAAAAAGAAGGAAAAATTACAGTCATATCCCAGCAGAAACATGAAAAACATTACAATGTGTTCTATGAGTGTGTGTACCATGTGTGTGTTTGTGCGTGTGTGTGTGAGTTTTTTCTGCATTGGGAATATTCTGTAGTCTCAGCCCTTCGTTTGGGTATAAATCTTTACTGGATTGTCTCAGATTTTGTATATAAAAAAAAATCAAATGTAATGAAAAATGCAGTTTTCTAGTAAGTTCCATTTATTCCTATGCGGGTCAAAATTACACTTTTGTGACTTTTTTTATTGCACCCATTTAAACTCCTCGAATCCACTCACATTTTTATTTATTTTTTCCCGGTGCAAGTGTGACAAAAGTAAAGACATCTTGGACCACATACGATTTTTAGAATAAAAAAAAACTAAAAACTTTTTGGGTCAAAATGACCCGAGGGACGGATGAGGGTTATTAAGAGAACTGAAGAAGAACCGGTGCATTAACCTCAGCAAAGAATGGCAGAGATGAAATCTAGGTCTGTTCTTTTTATTATCCTAAAGTATTTTCTAGTATCTCAACAGCAAATCAGTACAGTGACAGTATCACAATAATACGACCCCTGCTAACTATACCACCATTTGTGCAAAGCTCAAATACTCGGGTAAATCTGATTCCATGCTGTTGAATCATATTGCCTGATGCCAATCATCTTTAAATAACTCAGTGGGGGGAAAGTGACATTTTAAGGTGTACACTATTTTCAAGACAGTCTGAGATTTTATTGCTATTGCCGTTCCGATCAGCAGATTTCCTTCATGCCAAAGCCCAAAAAGCTAGATTGTGTCCGCCAATTTCTTAGGGGGCTGTGGTTGAGCCCTCATGGCATGAAACACTATAGAGGTGTTTTTATTTAATCTACACAAGCTTGTTTTTAATATGTTGTAAGTGAATGTATTTTATTGATCATACACAAAACATACAGGAGCAAACCTTGGCATTGCTTCTCAAGTATCCCTTGGCAAATTACGGTCAAACACTTGTTTTACCCGCAAGTCGCAGAGTTTAAACCGTTTTTAAAATATACATAAACAACATTTTCTGATTTTAAATACCCCAAATTCCCTCCCGTTCCCTCCATCACTCACGTGGCAATCTTTTCCCTCCATCCTAACAGAGAGGGCACCTACTACCTCCACAAAAATGAAATTACTCTAGTTGTGCAGCATATTGCTTTTTTTTTAAGACATTTGCGAACATAAATACAACAGTTTGTTTTCTGCTCTGATGTCGGACTGTTCAGAAGAAGAAGTTGGAACAGCAATGTCCTCCAAACTGCCCGTCCAAAATAATGAGCTATTCCCGTTTACGCCCCACGCTTTACGAACACAATGCCGATACTGAATGGATGTCCTTTCAGTTCTCTGTTCCACTGGTCTCTTTCTTTCTAGAACTTTCTTATCCCCTCCAATAGGCAAGTTACAGGTGGTGTCCATTCTTGAAACTCCAATCTGGTCCTCAGAAGTCTCTTTTTCCATTTGTTGGTCTCATTCGACACCTCTTTGTACGTCCACTCAGTCCTCTTTGATCGCGGAAGTCCGTATCTACTGATGGTCACCAACATTTTAGAATAGAGCGGGTTGGTGGGCATGGTTACAACTGGTCCACAATGGGCAGGTGCAGGCAGAGTGAAGGGCAAAGCTTAACTGTTTAACGGCACTAGAGGAAAACTCAATTAAGTCACAAGGCATGCATGTTACACACTCAGTTCTAGAGCTGGCCCTCAAGAGGTTGTGATATCTGGGTGTATGTACATACATCTGTCTGCGTATGCATGTATGAGTGCAAGTGTGTCTGTGTTCAAGTGTATAGGGGTCTCTTGTCTTGTGATCTTTATTAATGCAGTCCTTCTGCCCCACTGCTGCAGGGCATCCCGATCTCAGACTCTGGGGGAGTATTTGGGGTTTCTTGGCACCTCGGTGAAAGATTTCAGCTCGTAAGGAATCCCAGTGTCCACCTCGATGGACTTGCGGGAGAATAGCAGCCGGATATCATTGTGCAAGTAGATTTTCCCAGATTTGGAACTCTGGAATCTGAGATATGCAAACAAAGAGGAGAGGGAAAAACAGGTTTATTAGGCTTCATTGCTTCCATTTTGAATATACCACTTAGAGGAGAAGTACTTTTATGCTTATATATTAAATATATATTAAACATAGTTATCTAGTCTTTTAAGCTGGTTGCAAACTAGCCTAAAAATACACACTTGGAGCTATAGAATTAAAAGTATAACTAAGAGAAAGTTAAATGTGTGATCAATTTGCAACTATTAGAGGTAGTACAACAGTTTGCACCCATTATATATACGTTCATGGTCATACTGGTGTTCAAATGTTGCTGTCCCATTTATTTCTTCTAAATTAACAACAAAACATTGATCAAAAGTGTAACTAAAGACAAAATCAATCAAATTAATGCGGTTCTTGTGAACTTTGTTCATCAAAGAATCCTGAAAAATCAGTTTTCCCAAAGAAATGTTTCTTGAGCACCAAATAAGCATATAAGAATGATTTCTAAAAGATTCTGTGATACTCAAGACTGGAGTAATGGCTGCTGAAAATTCAGCTTTGCCATCAGAGGAATAAATTACATTAAAAAAAAATATATTAAAGGGTTAGTTCACCCAAAAATGAAAATTCTGTCATTAATTACTCACCCTCGTGTTGTTCCAAACCCGTAAGACCTTTGTTTATATTCGGAACACAATTTATGATATTTTTGGTGAAATCTGAGGGCTCTCTGACCCTCCCATAGACAGCAAGGTAACTACCGCGTTGAAGGTCCAGAAAAGTACCAAGATGATCGACAAAGTAGTCCGTGTGACATCAGTGGCTCAACTGTAAAGTTAGGAAGCTACGAGAATACTTGTGCAAAGAAAACAAAAATAACGACTTTATTCCAGTATCTTGCGTCATGATACTGCCGTCCACAAGTGACGCAGTAGAGACGAAAATGTGGAATAAAGTCATTATTTTTGTTTTCTTTGAACAAAAAAGTATTCTCGTAGCTTCGTAACTTTACAGTTGAACCACTGATGTCACACGGACTACTTTGTCGATCATCTTGGTACTTTTCTGGACCTTGAACGTGGTAGTTACCTTGCTGTCTATGGGAGGGTCAGAGAGCCCTCAGATGTCATCAAAAATATCTTAAATTGTGTTCCGAAGATGAACGAAGGTCTTACGGGTTTCAAACAACACGAGGGTGAGTAATTAATGACAGAATTTTTGGGTGAACTAACCCTTTAAAATAGAAAACTCTTATTATAAACAGCAATAATGTTTCGCAAAATTACTTTTTACTGTTTATACTATATTTCTGATCAAATAATTACAACTTTGGTGAGCATAACCGTGCGTTCACACCGCCGCCGTCGAGAGCGTCAAAGTGGCCGGAAGTCATTCATTTTCAATGTGAGCCGGCGTCGAGCAGCGGCGCCGTGCGACTTGGACGTCGAGGAGAGTTGAAATCAGGTCAACTTTATGGTAATGAGCTATGACGCAGGTTCGGCGGCATCTGGCGGCAACCAATCGGAACATAGAAGTCCACCGCTTGAGAGGATTCCAGCGAACGCAGTCCTGTAAACTTTGGTTCAGACCACATTAGTTCCCAAGCAAAATGGAGGAGAGGTTGATTATTGCTGTGGCGGGTTTCCCAATAATCTACAACACGTCCCTGTTTGCATACAGGGACATAAGCTGCGGGCAATAGGAGCCGCTAGCCCCGATCTCTGCTGTGAAGCCCTCAATCCGCCCAGATGGAGTAAAACGACCCTTCAGAATCGACTCCTGCAGACAGATGCACACAACAACCAATCAGAAATGCATCAAAACATTAGTCACTGACTGTAGATTAAGGCTGGAATAAACTTTTAATACAACTTCATACAACTGCAGACTTCATATATTGTTACAGAGGAAAAACTGGGCATAAGTGGGTTAAGACATGCATTTTTTTAAGTATCAGTAACCTGACAACCAAACCTTGGTAAATCACCTTGCATGATTTCTTTAAATATGCACGCCCATAAATGTTGCATCTGAAAGGGAAATTCCCACAAATGTGTATGCCACGCTTTGTCATCGCTAAAGTTTCACGGCGTTTCTTAAGTAAATCCTGACAGCAGGGTTTGCACTGGCGCAAACTGTTAGTAAATCTGGCCCATAGATAAAAGCTAAATAAATAAAAACTACAGTCTGTGCCCACAATTCACTACGAGATTTTCTGACTGCTCAAAATCTGCAGACTTCCTCTGACTTTCAGCAAATATCATGGATTCCTCCAGACAGCGAATTAAGGCTTAAGTTGTGAAATCTATTCCAGCTTTCAGTCTTTTAGCCTCTTTTTCACTTTGCATACCATGGTTTTATTGGCTTCAATGACAAACAGTATACAAATGTATATAAAACAGGCGCTGTGTGTTAATCTATTTTTAATTTAGTATTTGATTTCATCATGGCTTCGACTTGTGTACCTCAAAGTTGCCAAGAAGAGGTCTGCTAATGGAGGATAAAGAGGAGATTGAACTACAGGAGCGACTGGTGTCTGTTCGGCGTCCACTGCGTAACTGCCGACTATTAAAACAAGAAAAGTAATAAACACACATTCTTATATATTAATACAACATAATTTGAAGGAAAAAAGATGACTTACGATTTGAGTCGACTCCCCACTTTGAGCCTTCTCCCTGATCGTGAACAGTCTGTAGCAGTCTGAAAAATGAAGTTTTAAAAAAAATGTTACAACTAATACTATGTTTTAAAAATACAGGAAAAAAGATGACTTACGATTTGAGTCGACTCCCCACTTTGAGCCTTCTCCCTGATCGTGAACAGTCTGTAGCAGTCTGAAAAATGAAGTTTTAAAAAAATGTTACAACTAATACTGTTTTATTCCAATAGTCTTTTTTAAGAAAAAAGACTTACGTCAGTAAATAGCGTCGAAATGAAGTTAAGGTTCATTTCATGATCATGTAAAACCAGGCTGCTGATAAATGTTAAAAGTAGATTTGAATCGACTTAATGGAAATGACAATAAGTCAAATTACAAGCGTTTGAATGATTGGGAAAAATCATTCAAAAACAATGAAAAGAAGGCCCATTATGACATCAGAGTTAGAATGCGGAACAAATTTTCAAACTTCAGTTGAGATTAAGAAGTACTTACAGATGAAGATGTGGCTGCAATATCACACATCTCACGGTAGTCCATAGTATCATTCTGATAAGTTATTAAATATCAGCTAGACTTAACTATAGAATGGGTTTCAAACTTGTACATTTTCAGCTAGTTTGAACCTTTATTTCAGTCTATTCAGCTCTTTGTTTCTCTATTCTAAACCTACATTTGCTCTTTCCTCTTCGTTGGCCTGTTTCTATGATCATTTCTCTGTCCTTCACTTTCTCTTTTATTCTTCCCTTCTTGGGTTTTCTTCAAGTCCTGAGCTCAGCCTTTGAGCACTGACAGCATATGAGCCTCTGTAGTCCGTGTAACCCCTCTCACCCCAAATTCCCTCATTCTGGAACTGAATTTGGCCAGAACCTGTGTGTGTGTGTATTTGTTAGGTCAGGTGAGGCAGGTCTCACCTCTTGAACAATGGCTCTGTCAATGGGCTTTGTTCTGGAGTCCCAATGCATATTGTGCCGCAACGGAAAAATTAAGCATGCATATTCTAAAAATCTCTCACTCCCAATATGTCTTTTTTCATTCTGACTATTCACCCGACCTTTAATGATGACTCTGTCAGTAATGGGAGACTATCTCCACCCCCTTCTAAACATTACCAAAAAAAAGGCTTCTTCTTAAAATAATCAGCACCTTCTTATTTCCACTTGTAATGTGGAAAAATCTAGCATGTTTTTACCCCTGAATTAAGGCTCTTTTCACATGACTCACATTCAATGCATCTCTCACATGCCGTATTGATCTTTATGTGAAACGCATTGCAAAAGAGAATTTCTAATGCGTATTAAAATAATACAAATGTGCATAATATAATTTCACTCTCTAAAAACATTTTGTTTTCCATCTTGTTGAGTTGAAGACTTTGAGAGTTGCATTACCAGACCCCCTCCCCCAGGAGGAGTCTTCAAGGTTAGCTCGAAAATGCATTATGTGGCAGGATCCCAAATGGGAGACCAGAGGCTGTTTTGTTTGAAATCAATGGAGGAGAGGCCACAGTATGGTGAATGAAATGTAAATTAGAGTGCTTTGCAGAATTACCTTCAATATGTCTGCCGCACGATAAATAACCTTACTGTACTCGAAACTTTTGAACAGAAGTGTAAATATGAAGTCAGCTATGAAAAAAAAAAAATGCAAATAGGATTCGTTTATGGCACCACAATTTAGTTTTATGCTTGCTGCCAGTGGTAATCACTCCTAATTCGCTCATTGTAAGGGTATTATTTATATAACTGGTTCATGGGGTGCACATGATACAGGCTGGCTGTTAAAATGTTAGTTTGTACAGTATCTCTAGCTGCATTGTTAAGTCATGTGAAAGGGCCTTCGGTTTCATTTCTACTTTCTTTGCGTTTCACCTTGGTGTGCTCTCTTGCTGAGGGCAGTAGATGGTTCCAGAAGGGTGCACCCTTGGCATCAGTGCTGCGACAGGATGCTAATCCGAGCCCCGGTGCCAACAGTGCCAGCCGACTGCGTTTTGATGTAGATGGACCCTCATCCTCTGAGCAGGACTCTCCTGTATCACTGGAGGAGAGAAGTCTTTTCTTCACTGGACAGGAATTGGATGATCCTGATGCCAGGCCATTTGCTTCCACTGGTGTTTTTTCAAGAGAGCTCAGTCTGTTAGAGGAGGAGGTCTTCGTCTCTGCCGGTGGAGGAGAAGATTCATATAATTTCACTCTCTAAAAACATTTTGTTTTCCATCTTGTTGAGTTGAAGACTTTGAGAGTTGCATTACCAGACCCCCTCCCCCAGGGGGAGTCTTCAAGGTTAGCTCGAAAATGCATTATGTGGCAGGATCCCAAATGGGAGACCAGAGGCTGTTTTGTTTGAAATCAATGGAGGAGAGGCCACAGTATGGTGAATGAAATGTAAATTAGAGTGCTTTGCAGAATTACCTTCAATATGTCTGCCGCACGATAAATAACCTTACTGTACTCGAAACTTTTGAACAGAAGTGTAAATATGAAGTCAGCTATGAAAAAAAAAAAATGCAAATAGGATTCGTTTATGGCACCACAATTTAGTTTTATGCTTGCTGCCAGTGGTAATCACTCCTAATTCGCTCATTGTAAGGGTATTATTTATATAACTGGTTCATGGGGTGCACATGATACAGGCTGGCTGTTAAAATGTTAGTTTGTACAGTATCTCTAGCTGCATTGTTAAGTCATGTGAAAGGGCCTTCGGTTTCATTTCTACTTTCTTTGCGTTTCACCTTGGTGTGCTCTCTTGCTGAGGGCAGTAGATGGTTCCAGAAGGGTGCACCCTTGGCATCAGTGCTGCGACAGGATGCTAATCCGAGCCCCGGTGCCAACAGTGCCAGCCGACTGCGTTTTGATGTAGATGGACCCTCATCCTCTGAGCAGGACTCTCCTGTATCACTGGAGGAGAGAAGTCTTTTCTTCACTGGACAGGAATTGGATGATCCTGATGCCAGGCCATTTGCTTCCACTGGTGTTTTTTCAAGAGAGCTCAGTCTGTTAGAGGAGGAGGTCTTCGTCTCTGCCGGTGGAGGAGAAGATTCAAAAGTCGTCCCCCATTTGACAGCTTCAGCTGGTGTTGAAAACGGGACAGGCGCCCAACTGCTCTCTGTGGCGCACAACAAGCCCTTGACATCAACAGAGTTATGGCCTTCGTCCCTTGGCTCATCGCTGGAGCCAGCCGGGATGTTTCCTGCTGTGGAGGCCTCGGTTCTGGGATTAAGGGTGGGAGGACTTCCCTCACAGTGGCCCCTGGTGGAGTGAGGGCCCTGTGGGTCCACCATAGGGGGAGATTTTGGAGATTTTGGGGACAGCGGGGCGAAGGCATCCGGGACGGGCCTGTCGTGGTTGTGCTGGGCTGGCCGGCGACCAGGAATCAGTGGATGCGAAGGGGAAAGGGGAGGCGACCTAGGGATTTCTGAGTCTCTGTGCTCAAGGAGCGAGTTGGAAAAAAGTGGTTCCACCCCAGAGCCACACAACACCTCCCCATCGGACTCATCATCATCGTCATCCTCATCCTGTTGGAAAAGACGCTTATGGGCGACAGGAACCTGCATCCCCTTCAGGCTACGTTTCATACCTACTCGGACAGGCCGAAGAGTCTCTTGACTTTCCCCGAAACCACCTCTTTGGGAGAGGATGGATAGCTGGTAGACCTTCTGTAGCCTGATCTCTTCTTCTCCAAATGGTCTGGGAACGGCTCGCCGTACTTCAGATTCAGGGCTCTCGCTCCGAGTGCTAGGCAGAGGTAGATCCCCGTCCTGGGCTGGAAGCTCAACGGCCGGCTCTTTACGAGCCAGTTCCACGTGGATGTGACGCATAGTGACTTTGTTTGTGCTGGGTGATTGTTTCAGGGGAAGTTGTGCAGTGTTAAATAATAAAGACACTAGCTCCAGAGAGTTCTAGGATGTCTGAACAAGTGCAACAAGGCTGTGGAAGTGAAAGTAAGCTTCCCGTCTCATAGATGAAAGGCTTTAGTTTCCAGGGGTCAGGTGTGGAGTTAGAACAAGCTGATTTCCACAGTGCATACAGCTTCTGAAGTAAAACAAAGTATAAGCAAACTGACATGAAACGCATAATAAATGAAATTACATTGGTTTTGCAGTACATTATTGATCCGCCAAAAAGAAGAACTGGCTTATATGCATCATTTGTGAATCGAACGGCACTGAAAGCATTTGTATGTTTGTTTTTGCAAGTAGCCTGCAAAGACGACTTAAAAACACATTCTTGCAATTATTTCCTGGCACACTGACCTTTTATCTCAATCACATTCTATTCAAATAGCAAACTCACATTAAAAATTCAGGTAAAATATGATTTATTTTGCTGTGGCACAGACGATTCTGCACTGAGGGAGCATCACTGTTGTAAATTGGAGCAGGAATGTGTCAGAATAAATACAGAATAAGTGTGTGCATGACCATTTTCCGAACCTACATGCCCGTTGGTGCCTGCAGCTTGGCTTCAGGTCCTTCCACATCCACCCCTGCAGCTTCTGAGTTGTGTTGACCCTTGAATCTTGACCCTGACCTTAGCCCCCGAGTTCGGCCATCTCCAACACTGCCCCTCTGATGCAACAACAGCATTCCCAGATACACAGGCAGCTAACAGGGGCCTGACGAAAAAAAGAGAGAAAGAAAATGTCAGAGAGATAAATCAACCAGATTTTTAAATGTTTTTGAAAGAAGCCTCCTCACTAAGGCTGCATTTATTTGATGAAAAATACAGTAAAAACAGTAATATTGTGAAACATTACTATTATAAAACATTTTTTAAATGCAATTAATTCATCTGGATGGCAAGTAATATTACTTGCATTATCATAATTCCTCATTCTAATATGCTGATTTGGGGCCCAAGAAGCATTTCTTATTATTTCTAACTATATTACACCAATATAATGTTGTAAACAGTTACATTAAACAAAAATCAAATCAAAATTTTGTACATAAACTTGATCATTTCTGTGTTGCACTCAACAGACAGTGTTAAATTTAAATGTATCAAACTTTGACAAAAGTTATAGCCTGCTAAACAATCATTAGGTTACCAGTATCATAGTGCATGCTTTTAGTTGACTTACCAAGGGCAGAGCGTCAGTGAGGTGGGAGGGGCCTTGCAGAACGTGCCAATGAATAAGTAATATCCCTCCTACAGCTCCACCCAGATAAGGCCAGCGGCCAATCACGCCTCACCTTGGCTCCTGAAAGGAGTGGACTGCTCAGCGGCTGCATCCTGAGCCAGGCATTCCAGAGACACAACCTATTGAAGAGCAATGGTGAATCAACAACAAATCGACTCGATCAAATCAGTAACCATGCAACACAGTTCAACCTGCACATGATCTGAATCAAGTCGTTGTAAACAGATTTAAAAATCAAGTTATCTGGTAAATTGCTGTGTCAACACTGGGACTAAAGAGGCGAGATCAAACTCATTTAATAGCTTTTTAATCAAGACATCGTTCTACTGGTCAATAAATAATCAACCAAGAAAATGACACTAACAGGGAACAGACACAAAGAGCAATCGTATGACTCACTACACTCATTTCATGCCTTCTGATTAGGACACATGCTTGAACAGACTGTGTACTGCATAGCTCTGACTGGCTCTCTGTCTCTAGAGCTCAGGCCTGCTTGGGATCAAGACTGGCAGACAAAACACGGAGACGCACAACAGAACCTTTGTACTGTCTTGCATCAGAGAACGAGCAGTCCTGCTCATTAAAGGACAAAAACAGGAACATACAAGCACTAACACACTAACAAGTGAACATTATCTACTCTAGCTTAGCTGAATAGATGCAAGTAGTATATAGTCTAAATGCATACTAGCTGAAAAAATATGTTTATCCTTCCTTTATAATATTTTTTAAAAAATGCTGAAATCTTAAGGATGCATACATCACATCCATGGGGAGCAGAGATTGACAAATCCTCTGCATATGCCACAAGAGAGATCTGGGAATGAAATGGTGCCTGACTAAACTATTTGCATATCACTTACACTACCATTCAACATTTTGGAGTTGGTATTATTAGTCGTTTATGCTTACCAAGGCTTAATTTGAATGATCGAAGATCCGGTACAAAAAATTTAAATAATAATTCTGTGAAGTATTAATACAATTTATAAATCACAGTTGTGTCGCTTAATATTTTTGTGGAAATCCATGCTACATTTCTTTCAGGATTCTTTGATTAATTCGAAGTTCAAAAGAACAGCATTTATTTGAAAACTATAAATCTTCTGCAACATGTCATGCAAAATGTCTACTGTCACTTTTGATCCATTGAATTAATGCCTGCTGAATAGAAGTATTCATTTCTTTAAAATATCTTACTGATCTCAAGGTTTTGTGCCACATCTTGCAATGCAGTAAGCACAATCTAATTAATGTCAAGTATGCCAGTCTGATGGCTATAAATGCATAAAATATGACAGAATGTTGAGGATCTGGCCTTTCTAGGCGATGCATTTGCATTATACAGCTTGAATTAAGTATTCAGTGGCCTCTCAAGGAAGGAGCTTATACTCTAAGAAATGTCTGTAAAAATAGGGCACAATGTATGGTGCTAATATGAAGGACTTTTCCGTATTGAAGGAATTTTCTTTATTGATTTTTCACAGGTGTTTTACCAATATTTTGAATTATGCATTGCATTGTGTTGTGTTTTAAGATTAAAGGAAATCATTTTTCTACAGATTTGTGTATCTCAGTATGGACCAGACCATCTTCAATCAGATGGAAACAGACAAAGAGATAGAAATTGACACTCTATTAGACTGTTGTGCCACCATCAAGACTTAAAGGTACACAGAAGACTTGAGGTTGAGAGTACTGTTAGGCATTGCTAAATATCTTACTGATCTCAAGGTTTTGTGCCACATCTTGCAATGCAGTAAGCACAATCTAATTAATGTCAAGTATGCCAGTCTGATGGCTATAAATGCATAAAATATGACAGAATGTTGAGGATCTGGCCTTTCTAGGCGATGCATTTGCATTATACTGCTTGAATGAAGTATTCAGTGGCCTCTCAAGGAAGGAGCTTATACTCTAAGAAATAGGGCACAATGTATGGTGCTAATATGAAGGACTTTTCCGTATTGAAGGAATTTTCTTTATTGATTTTTCACAGGTGTTTTACCAATATTTTGAATTATGCATTGCATTGTGTTGTGTTTTAAGATTAAAGGAAATCATTTTTCTACAGATTTGTGTATCTCAGTATGGACCAGACCATCTTCAATCAGACGGAAACAGACAAAGAGATAGAAATTGACACTCTATTAGACTGTTGTGCCACCATCAAGACTTAAAGGTACACAGAAGACTTGAGGTTGAGAGTACTGTTAGGCATTGCTTTGACAAACAGCAAACGGGTAAGTTTTCTGTGAAGTTTTTTTATTTTTATTAGTTTGCCAAGCATGTGGGGGTCTGTTACACATGATGTAAGACCCTCATAGCATTGCTGTGAATCTTTCAGACTCCGCATGAATAGAACCCTGAACCCCAGGTCAAATACAGCTGACAAGACACACACACACACACACAGTAACCAACTAACATACTAGTGTTACACACCAACATGTTGCCCGGAGAGTAGAATGAGAGATGTAATGTGTGTTTATTCTAAGCACATGATGCCAGTTATACACACGTGGGGGAATTCGTGGCTGAATGGTTAGAGAGTCCCAAAGGTTGTGGGATCGAGTCTAGTACCGGCAGGGATTGTAGGTGGGGGGAGTGAATGCACAGCGCTCTCTCCCACCTTCAATACCACGACTGAGGTGCCCTTGAGCAAGGCACCGAACCCCCAACTGCTCCCCGGGCGCCGCAGCATAAATGCTGCCCACTGCTCTGGGTGTGTGTTCACGGTGTGTGTGTGTTCACTGCTGTGTGTGTGCACTTTGGATGGGATAAATGCAGAGCACTAATTCCGAGTATGGGTCACCATACTTGGCCACATGTCACATCACTTTCACTTTTCACTTTCATAAACGTAATGTTCTCAGCTGTGCAATCAAATGTTTTTTTTTTTCTGAAACATACTCATTTTACCAGTCATTAATATTTAGCTTTAGCTAATAATAGCTTAGTCCTATTCCTGAAATCTCTTCATATGGTTGTTTCACACAGTCTACAAATCTTCATATTTTATTACCGTTGAATTGCAATGAATTGTTGTCTAGCTTACATTATCAAACCGAGGACACACTGAGAGTTCAGTTTATCCACTCTGTCTGTAAAAAAAAGCAAGAATGTTCATCCCCACCCCCAGAGAATTCAATACGGAGCAGAAGAAAATAGATGGGGAAACCAAACATCCAAGACTAGCATGAACAGCTGTCAGCTGCATGATGTTTTTCTGGGTACTAGGTGTTATTTAGGAGAAAGTCAGTCAGTCAAGAATTAGTCAAGCCAGTTTCATTTGTATAGTGAATAATACAGCCAATTTCCAAGCAGCTTTACATAATATGGTGTCTTTACACCCCAATGAGCAACTGAGCCATGGAAAACTCCCTAAGATGAATGAGTAGAAAATTAAGGGGATATGAAAAACACATTTATTTTTTATGCTCACACAGCAATGGATGGCATTTGTGCTCGTCTTTAGTTATTGGAATTCTTGAATGCATAGCTGTGCATCTGATAATTATGAAGTGAAGGAAGTGGATCAAAGCAAAAATAATTAATTCCACACATTACAGTTCCTCAATTCAGGATCACAATAACATAGATGAAAGACTGAAGGGCTCAAGGAGCCAAACAATCAAAAATTGCACTGGAGCTTCAGTTAAGCATTGTTTGTTTCCATGGTTGACCACTGAGCCCAAACAACATTCTGGTAAAACTAGCTAAACCCAAGCTTTATTAAAGAGGCATTCTCCCTATAGAGCCACCATGGAGCTTGTTTATCACAGCTATATAGCCAATAACTTTGTATGTGTTTGTTTGTTTTTACTATGGACATATTTTTGGATTATCTGGATGCCAAAAACTCCACACACACACAAAAAAAAAGAGCATTAAGCCACTTCCTTCTTTGGTTTTAATGGAAACATGAAAATATTCTCAAACAAACAATACTTGATTCACGCAAGCTAAAATATGCCACACTTATACCCAACAGGTGTTGTTACTCAAACAATAAAGAAAGACAATTAATTCATTTTCACTATGAATGTGAGAGAGTGAGTCAGTGAGAAAGAACATCTCATGGGCATGAGTGCAGACCTCTACAGTGATGATGTGTGCAGCCCTTGAGGTTTTTGCAAAACACTTGGCTTTTACATCTGAGGAAGTCACAAAATGTCTTTACAAACTACAGCAGCAGCAAAGACTAAACACTCACAAGCTCACCTCTGACTAAGCTTATCTCTCCGCAACTAAAAGCCTGCCAGTTTGTAAAACCAAGGGCTGAAATATTATTTCTACATGTGGCAAGGGTCATGATGTCATTGATTCATTTGTGCATTGACAGATATGATAAGAGGGAGAGAGAGAGAGAGAGGGAGAGATAAAACAGCTGTCTCACTCTTTTTTCTAAGTTCTCTTTGAAGCTACTTCCTTTTCCACTTCCAACCACTAATGTTCATAAATGGGTGGTTGATAAATGACATACAGTACATGAAAATAAAGATATTAGGTTAAAATCACCATTGTATATACTGTTATATATACTATTATTCACCATTTGCACCAATGTTCCTTGTAGTCAATTCAATTCATATAAGGACATAAAAACTTTATATAAGAGTTATAAGAAATAATACATATATGTTGTTTAAAAAAAAAAAAAAGTGTAATGTCACACTATCCATAAACACACACAGATCAAAATTTTAGGTTAAAAGCTACATGAATACATAAGGGGCTGACACTGATGTGTCAAAGACTGATAAAAATGTCAAATGCCAAGGTTAACATTTTAGCTAAATGACATACAGTACATGAAAATAAAGATATTAGGTTAAAATCACCATTGTATATACTGTTATATATACTATTATTCACCATTTGCACCAATGTTCCTTGTAGTCAATTCAATTCATATAAGGACATAAAAACTTTATATAAGAGTTATAAGAAATAATACATATATGTTGTTTAAAAAAAAAAAAAGTGTAATGTCACACTATCCATAAACACACGCAGATCAAAATTTTAGGTTAAAAGCTACATGAATACATAAGGGGCTGACACTGATGTGTCAAAGACTGATAAAAATGTCAAATGCCAAGGTTAACATTTT